ATACCACTATGCTTCCTGTACAGCCTGCACAACTGTGAGCCAATTAAACCTCTTTTCTTATAAATTACCCAGTCTCAGGTATTTCTTTCTTTTTTTTTTTTTTTTTTTTTTGAGACGGAGTTTTGCTCTTGTTACCCAGGCTGGAGTGCAATGGCGCAATCTCGGCTCACCGCAACCTCCGCCTCCTGGTCTCAGGCAATTCTCCTGCCTCAGCCTCCTGAGTAGCTGGGATTACAGGCACGTGCCACCATGCCCAGCTAATTTTTTTTGTATTTTTAGTAGAGACGGGGTTTCACCATGTTGACCAGGATGGTCTCGATCTGTCGACCTCGTGATCCACCCGCCTCGGCCTCCCAAAGTGCTGGGATTACAGGCTTGAGCCACCGCGCCCGGCTTTCAGGTATTTCTTTATAGCAATGTGAGAATGAACTAATACACCGTCACCTAACACTGACAACCTCTGAAAGCGATAGAATCACTCAGATGAGAAATTGGCCACAAGCTCCACTCTGGGCTCTGATTTGCATCATTGCAAAACATCGACAAGGTTTCACAGACCCTTAATTGATATGGGTACACTCTCTATGCTCCAGCCCTCTTGATGACTTGTCCCTCATGGAGAGTGGTGGTGGATGTTGGCCCGTGGGTTTTGGGCCAAGCCGTAGGGCTGTGTCCTAGTTACCTGGGTTACTGTTTAATTTCACAGGACTTTCTGAGGAGATCCCAGACCCCCTACATTTCATAGGCCCCTTCCTTATGGTCCTCCCAAGGTGCCATCCCCTGCGTGTCTGTCTCAATATGAAGGCAAATGTGGATCAGTTCGCTCATCATCCATTCATTCTTGCATTCCCTACTTACTGTCTTTTTTATATCAGGCATTGAAATGGTGAACAAAATATCAGAGAACATGAAAAACCTCTAGTTACCTATAATGTGTTTTCTAGCTGGGCACACAAGAAATCAAAACAAGTAAACCACACAGTGTGTGTGGAGGAGAGAGCAGAGAGGTAATAATGCTTACCCGGTGTTCCCTGTGCCATCCTGCACTTCCCAGGATCCTTGGAGCTGGCAGGGGCATGTGACTAGTTCTGGCCAATGGGCTGTGAGTGCTTCAGGGTCAAAATATAGATTACAGAATGCACAGTTGTCCGCTTCCTGCTCATCATCTATGACCAAGATGGCCAAGGGTATCTGTTGGTTCAGAGACAAGTGGCATCCCTGAACAACAGGAAAACTTTCAACACCAGCCTGGGTTGAACAAGTGACATGAGCAAGGCATAAACTTTCCATTTTATTGAGTTACCAAGATTTGGGCTTGTCTGTTTCTGCAGTAAAATACAGCCTACTCTTAAACAGAATATTAATTGGAGATTAGTGCTTTCGAGGAAAAAAAAAGTAGTGGGGAATTGGGATTGAAAGAGAGGTTTACATTTTTTATTTTTTATTTATTTATTTTTTTTTAAAGACAGAGTCTGACTCTGTCACCAGGCTGGAGTGCAGTGGTGTAGTCTCCACTGCAACCTCTGCCTCCTGAGTTCAAGTGATTCTCCTACCTAGGCCTCCCAAGTAGCTGGGACTACATGCACATGCCACCATGCCTGGCTAGTTTTTTTGTATTTTTAGTAGAGACAGGGTTTCACTGTGTTAGCCAGGATGGTCTCAATCTTCTGACCTCATGATCCACCTGCCTCAGCCTCCCAAAGTGCTGGGATTACAGGCGTGTGCCACCACGCCCAGCTGGGTTTGCATTTTAAAGACTGGCTAAGGCAGGCAGATCAACTGAGGTCAGGAGTTCAGGACCAGCGGGGCCAACATGGTGACACCCTGTCTCTAGTAAAAATAAAAAACTTAGCTGGACACAGTGGCATGCGCCTGTAGTCCCAGCTACTCGGGAGGCTGAGGCGGGAGAATCACTTGAACCCGGGAGGGGGAGGTTGCAGCAAGCCGAGATTGCACCACTGCACTCCAGCCTGGACAACAGAGCGAGACTCCGTCTCAAAAAAAGAAAAGAAAAGAGTGGCCAGTGAATGCCAGATCAGGACAGTTAAAGTTGAATAAAGATCTGAAGGATGAGAGGGGTCCAGACACACTGAGAATGTGGGGGAAATATTTCAAGGAGAGGAGCAGCAAGTCAGAGACCCTGAGGTGGGAGCACGGCTGGTGAGGCCTGAGGCACAGCAGCAAGGCTCGAGTGACGGGTGAGGGAGTCGTGGGTGAGGTGACAGGGACCTGGGCCCTTGGTCTGAGTGAGACGGGACACCATCAGAGGATCTTGAGCAGAGGAGTGATGTGATCTACATTTTACACATAAAGTTATGGCTGTCATAGAAGCTAAGGGAAGTCAGGGACAGCAGCCGGGAAACCAGTTAGGAAGTGGTTGGAATGTTCTAGAAGAGAAGCAATGCCTTATGCCAAGGCAGTGGCAATGTAGGTGGTGAGAAGCAACCAGAATTAAGTTTTAAAGATAAGGCAGGATTCGCTGGCGATGCAGACGTGGAGTATGGAAAAGAAAGAGGTGAGTCGAGGGTGATGATGAACAAGGCTTTTGACTTGAGCCCCGGGGAGGCTGGAGCTGCCATCAACATAGGGAGGCTGGTGGCAGCCCAGCTGCTGGGGCTTAGTGTGGGCTCTTGTTGGCTGTTGCAGTGGGGATACTAAGTAGCCAGTTGACTGCCTTTCACTCTGGGTCATTCTGGGTGGGGCAGGTGCCAGAGAGCAGACAGTAGAACCCACTATCATTGAACAGTTCTGTTAAGTAATTGTGAAATCGTCAGCGGTCATTTTGTTTTAATGATAATGGCATTTTAGAGTGAATGTTTGTTTACAGAGCCTGTAGAGTTCCATACATAGCCCAGTGTCAGAGACTTTGATTTCCAGATGAAAAAACTGAGTTTTGATTAACGCTCTTGGGAGGGGAATGGGCAGAACCATGGGCTTGCATCAAAGGAGAGACTTCACCTCAAAAAAAACAAAGGATAGTTATAAGCCTTGTAATGTTTAAAAGTGGTAATATTTATAACTGACCTGAATCAGATGTTACAGTAGCAGTGTCGCAGTTCTTACCTCAGCGCTGTTAAGAGAGTCGCGGTGGAAAGTGCGGAAAGGAGACATGTTCATAAGAAGCAAATGACATCCCCTCCCAAGGTGTGGGCCACCATCCCTAGCTAATTTATTGTGGTTTTGATGTTATTTCCTTAGTGACTGATGTTGTTAATCATCTTTTCATGTGTTTACAGTACATTCGTATATATTTGGGGAAATGTCTGTTCTGCTCAAGCCCCCTGCCCACTTTTATATTGGGTTGTCTTTTTGTTGTTGAGTTTATAATGGTATTAAATCCCTATCACATACATGATTTCCAAATATTTTCTACCATCCTGTGTCTCATTCACTTTCTTGATGTTATTTCTAAATGTTTGGTAGGGTTCACCAATGAAGCCATTTGGTCCTAAACTTTTTATTGTTTAATGGCTTTTGATGACCACTCGGTCTCTTGTTATAGGGCTCTCAATTTTCTTTTTCTTCCAGAGTCTCTTTGGGTATGTCTCAAGGAATTTGTTAAATCTAGAGCAGTGGTCCCCAGCCGCTGGGCCACAGACCAGGCTGCGCAGCAGGAGGTGAGCAGAGGGTGGGCGAGCGAAGCTTCATCTCTGTTTACAGTGGCTCCCTGTCACTTGAGTTACCACCTGACTTCCACCTCCTGTCAGATCGGCAGCGGCATTCGATTCTCATAGGAGCGCAAACCCTGTTGTGCACTGTGCATGCGAGGGATCTAGGTTGTACACTCCTTAGGAGAATCTAATGCCTGATGATCTGTCATTGCCTCCTGAAACAAGCTCAGGGCTTACACTGATTCTACATTATGGTAAGTTGTATAATTATTTTACTGTATTATTTTACTACAGTAAAATAATTACTATTATAGTAATTATATATATATATATATATATATATATTTTTTTTTTTTTTTTTTTTTTTTTTTTTTGAGACGGAGTTTCACTCTTGTTACCCAGGCTGGAGTGCAATGGCGCGATCTCGGCTCACCGCAACCTCCGCCTCCTGGGTTCAGGCAATTCTCCTGCCTCAGCCTCCTGAGTAGCTGGGATTACAGGCACATGTGCCACCATGCCCAGCTAATTTTTTGTATTTTTAGTAGAGACGGGGTTTCACCATGTTGACCAGGATGGTCTCCATCTCTCGACCTCGTGATCCACCCGCCTCGGCCTCCCAAAGTGCTGGGATTACAAGCTTGAGCCACCGCGCCTGGCTATATATATGTTTTTTTGAGACAGAGTCTCGCTCTGTTGCCCAGGTTGGAGTGCAGTGGCATTCAACTCACTGCAACCTCTGCCTCCCGGGTTCAAGAGATTTTCCTGCCTCAGCCTCCCGAGTAGCAGGGATTACAGGTGCGTGCCACCATGCCCAGTCAATTTTTGTATTTTTAGTAGAGATGGAGTTTCAACATGTTGATCAAGCTGGTCTCTCTTAACCTCATGATCCACCCACCTCAGCCTCCCAAAGTGCTGGGATTACAGGCGTGAGCCACTGCACCTGGCCTGTTTTACTATATATTATAATGTAGTATTAATAGAAATAAGGTACACAATAAATGTAATGTGCTTGAATCATCCCAAAACCATCCCCCCTCATCTTACCGTCCGTGGAAAAATTGTCTTCCTTGACACTGGTCTCAGGTGCCAAACTGGTTGGGAACTGCCAGTCTCTGTGACCTCCTGTGTTGGTGTACAGCTGTTCACGCATTCTCTTAACAGCCCTTCCAGTTTCCATAAGAGCAGTAGTAATGTCCCAGCGCCACTCCTGATTTCAGTTACTTACATCTTCTCTTTTTATTAGTAATTCTAGCTGTACTTTTGTTGATCTTTTTGAAATAACCAGCTTTTATTTTCATTAATTCTCCTTCTAGTCTCAATTTCATTTATCTCTGCTTTAACCTTTCTTTATTTTTACTTTCCCTGGGTTTAGTTTGCTCTTTTTAGTTCTTTTTTTTTTTTTTTTTTTACTGACCTAAGTGGCTTTTTTTATTAGAGAAAGCCAGAATTACAAAGGACTTAAGAGTTGGCATTGGGGCCCTTCTTCTTGCCAAAGGTGGGCACAAGGTTGACAAAGCGCCGATTGTACTGCATCCACCTCTTAGCCCAGCCTGTCTTCTTCTGCTGCTTCTTCTTCTTCTCCTGTTTGGCCACCTTAGGAGTCTGACCTCTCACTTTCCCAGCACCGGCCAGGGAACCATGGACTCTACCTCCGAGCATTCGGCCTGCTACTTCCAGGGTGGTCAGGGCCTCCACTCCGCATTGGCCCAGGGTGGCCTCATCCTCCAGGGGCATGCCTGCCGGGAGTACGACTTACTCTTACGGGGCAGTGCCCTCCAGTGAGGCTACATGAGCCTTAATCTGGGCGACCGTGTCCTGGCCAGTCACCTCGAGGGTGTGTAGCTCCCGGGCGCGGACGAAGAGCTGCATGTTGGCTACTGAACCACCGTGTCAGCTGCCGCTACCAGTGAAGATGGAGTCGAGAAAGAGGAAGGAGCGAGGGCACGCACGTGCAGATCACTGGTTGAGCGTCGCGTCACTCCGCTCTTTTTAGTTCTTTACTGTGTCAAGGTAGATTTCTGATTGAGAGCTTTCTTATTTTAATGTAGGAAATTTACAGCTGTACGTTTTCCTCTGAGATCTACTTTTGCCACTTCCCATAAGCTTGGATGTGTTTTCATTTGTCTAAAAGTATTTTCTGATTTCTGTAGTGATTTCTTTGTCCCATTGGTTAAGAGCATGTTGTTTAATTTCCATGTATTTGTGAGTTTTCCAATTTTTCTTCTGTTGATTTTTAGTTTTATTCATGGAGAGAATATACTTTGTGTGATTTCATTCCTTGAAAATTCGTTAATAATTCTTTATAGCCTAACTTATGGTCTATCCTTGATAACCCTAATTTGGGTATAATTTGATTTTTTTTTATAAGCATAGTTTATTTGGTTTTGCTGCACCTGTTTGGTTTCTTGTATGTTTGTTTTGAGCCTTAGACAATAGAAATTTATTTCTCACCATTCTGAAGTCTGGTAACTCCAAGATGAAGGTGCTGGCTGGTTTGGCTCCTAGTAGAGGCTCTTTCTTGCTTGGAGACAACTGCCTTCTCCCTGTATGCTTGCATGGTTGAAAGAGAACCTGTCCACTTTTAAATGTAGGCACTTAAAGATTATTTCCTCCTGAGGATGGGTTTTTTTTTGTTTTTTTTTTTTTTTTTTTTTTGAGACGGAGTTTCGCTCTTGTTACCCAGGCTGGAGTGCAATGGCGCGATCTCGGCTCACCGCAACCTCCGCCTCCTGGGCTCAGGCAATTCTCCTGCCTCAGCCTCCGGAGTACCTGGGATTACAGGCACGTGCCACCATGCCCAGCTAATTTTTTTGTATTTTTAGTAGAGATGGGGTTTCACCATGTTGACCAGGATGGTCTCGATCTCTCGACCTCGTGATCCACCCGCCTCGGCCTCCCAAAGTGCTGGGATTACAGGCTTGAGTCACCACGCCCAGCTCCTGAGGATGGGTTTAACCTCATCTCACAAATTGGTTTTTTTTTTTCCATGTAGCACAAAATATTTATTAAATTTACCTTGTTCCATCTTTTACATAGAGTGTTTTTGTGTTTAATTTCTAAATATTTAGGAATTTTCTAGATTCCTTAATGTTCTGGTTTCAATTGAATATATTTGCTGTCCTTTGAAATGAATTGAAAGTTTTTTTTTTATGGTCCAGCATATATAATCCAGGTTCTCTTGGCTGTTGAATTGGAGAAAGTTAAATGATTCAGATATATGGGAGGTGTAATTCATTGATCCTTTTTAAAAAGTTGATTTTCTTTTTTCTCTCTCTCCGTCTCTTTCTCTTTCTCCTTTTCTTTCTCTCTCTCTTTCTCCTTTTCCTTCCTTTTCCTTTCCTTCTCTGACAGGATCTTACTCTGTGGCCCAGCCTGAGGTGCAGAGGCACAATCCCGGCTCACTGCATGCCTTCCTGGCTCGAGTGATCCTCTTTCCTCAGCCTCCCAAGCAGCATTGGAAACTACAAGTGTGTACCACCACACCTGGCTAAACTGTTTTTTTTTTTAATCAAAAATACAAAATTAGCTGGGCGTGGTGGTGTGTGCCTATAATCCCAGCTACTTGGGAGCCTGAGGCATCAGAATCACTTGAACCCAGGAGTCAGAGGTTGCAGAGAGCCGAGATCACATCACTGCACTCCAGCCTGGGCGACAAGACCAAAACTCTGTCTCAAATAAATACATAAATAAATAAATAAAATTTCCATTAGCTGAAAATAAATAACAGAATTTCTGTCACCCTAGAAAGTTCCCTTTGCTTCTTTCAGTCTGTCCTGTCTTTGTGATCCTCCATTGAAGCAATCTTTTTTTTTTTTTTCCAGTTCTGTCAACTTAAATAAGTTTCACCTATTCATGGACATCATATTGGTGGAAGCAGAGTGTTTCTTATGTGTCCAGCTTCTTTTGGCCAGCATCGTAGGGATTTCTCCATGTTGCATGTCTGCATAGTTTCTTTTTATTGCTGAGTAGTATTTTATTCTGTAAACATATCACAATTTATATGTATATCCATTCTCTGGTTGATAAAGATTTAGATTGTTTACAGCATTTGGCTATGAGGAATCAGATTGCTACAGGCATTTTTGTATGAGTCTTTGTGAATATAAATTGCTTAAAATTTCTCTTATATAAATATCTAGGAGGAGAATTGTTGGGTCAGATGGTCAGTGTGCTTGTTAAAAACTGCCAAAGTGCCGGGCGCAGTGGCTCAAGCCTATAATCCCAGCACTTTGGGAGGCCGAGGCGGGTGGATCACGAGGTCGAGAGATCGAGACCATCCTGGTCAACATGGTGAAACCCCGTCTCTACTAAAAGTGCAAAAAATTAGCTGGGCATGGTGGCACGTGCCTGTAATCCCAGCTACTCAGGAGGCTGAGGCAGGAGAATTGCCTGAGCCCAGGAGGCGGAGGTTGCGGTGAGCCGAGATCGCGCCATTGCACTCCAGCCTGGGTAAGAAGGGCGAAACTCCGTCTCAAAAAAAAAAAAAAAAAAAAAACTGCCAAAGTGTTTTTGAAAGTAGTGGAACTATTTCACACTCCCACTGTCAGTATATGAGAAATTACCCCAAACTCAGCAGCATTTAATATTGGTAGTCTTTTTGATTTTGACTGCTCTAGTCTTAATTTGCATATCTCTGATGACTATGATGTTGAGCACCACTGGATGTGATTCTTATTGATTGCTTACATTTTGTGAAATGTCTGTTTATTAAAGTCTTTTGCCCTTTTTGTTGGGTTGATGTTCTTTTTTTCTTTCTATTTTTAAGAAGCTCTACTTGTTTCTTTTTTTGCACTCTTATGTAGGAGTTCTTTATATAATCTGAATATGAATTCTTTTTCAGGTGTATGCATTGCATTTTTTTTTTTTTTTAACAATCTCTGGTTCACTGTTTATTTTCCTTTTTTCTTTTTCTTTTTTTGTTCTTAGAGACAGGATCTCACTCTATTGCCCAGGCTGGAGTGCATGATCATAGCTCACTGCAGCTGTTCTCTATTAATTTATTAGTGTCTGATTCATCTCAAAAGATTTTTTAATTTAAATTCAGTGAGCAGAGGAGGGGGCCATTAGCGAACGAGCTGGCAGAAGCACAGGTGGCCGCAAATCTCTAAAGTGGGAGAGCTGTTGTGAAAAGAAGGTTGCGTCGGAGATTTTGCCCAGAGAGCAGATTTCCAAATCATTGCCTGTGAGGGGAGGCTGATTCTAGTGATGATGCAGTCCAGGCTGTGGCCCAAGGATGTGCATATTGGTGTGGAATGTGGGTGCAAAGGGCATTGGAGGTTGGAACTCATAGTTAGGCCTGGGTGGACTGTCTTCATGGATAGAGCCATCCTTAATGATCGTAGGCCTTGAAGGTGAAGGAAGAGCAGAAGTCTAGGACCAGAGTGTTTAATGAGTGAGGGGGTTGAACACAGTTGTGCTTGGTGGCAAATCACTTAGAAAGAGTAATTCTGAACCCACTTATAGCAGATCAGGGGCTGTCCTCCCACCACATCGCTGGGAGACGTTACCTAAGAAAGATAAAAGTCCAGGATCAGCCAGACCTTGCTGCTCAGAAGAGGAAATGCCAAAAGACAAAACTTGGATTTTTCTTCGGTGAGCAGGAGAGGCAGACAGCCTTGGACTACTTCCGGTGTTCTTTCCTTCGCTACAGATGCCGACTTGGAGAGGCCCGTCGAGAGCAAGAGAGTAGCTTTCTGGTTGTCCCGGTGCCCTGTTCAGGCAAACTGACTGCCATTCTTTGAGGATGGCAGCTCTGTCCCCAATGCTTGGTAAGTTTTTAGGTCAGTGCGTGCCCTGAGAAAGTGAGTGTTAAGCGGCCCCTGCCACTTGGTGGGGTAAAAGATACGTGCACTGCAGAGGGCTGCTGGGAGAGGATGGCTGAGTGGAAAAGGGGTAGGAATAGAACCCCAGCAGCCGCCCCAGTGACTGTGTCTGATGAGGGTCTTGGTGGATCTGGGAGAGAGGGGAGTGTCATGTCATCGATTGATGAAGAGGGTGCAGGTAATGGGTAACCCTGCATTATCCCATTTATTATTTTGATCAACTTCAGCAAGGTTACAACTCTACCTCTCAGAACTTGCATTTCTTCATTCATAGGTTGGGTCTATGTCACTTTTTATGAGTATGTAGCCCACCACCCTCTTTCTGTTTTTAGTGGAACAGGGCTGTTCTGACTTGTTACGAAAGTGATGTGTGCAAGAGAGATAGAGAGAGAGGGGATTGAAGATGTGAACACTCAGAGTCAGTGTGGAGCAGTTTCCTGGTTTGCAAGTTTTGTTATTATGAGGCAGGGGCAGGCTCTGATTCTCATGAACCCTCTTTTCTCCTCCAGCCATGTCCACCCAGGACTCCACCTATCTCCAGGAGTCAGAATTTCCTCTTTCTTCAAAAGACTGTTCCTGTCCCCAGAATTTGGACCTGTTCGCATGCAGTGGTCTGGAGCCTCACACACCCGGTGTTGGTTCCCAGGTGCGTTAAGATCTCCAGGCCCCTAGATCAAGAGAGACACTTCCTAGAACACCCTCAACCATGCATGCTGGAATTCTTTCCAAGCTTCATCTCAGGAAATGGATGCCAGAACGGGGCCTGAGAGAGAGCCAAGGAATATTAGGACTGTCCTGGTGTTGGGGAAGTTAGGGAAAGTGATTTATGTAGCACCTGTTTCCCTCATGCTTGCAAAATGCTAAGGCCCATGCTCAACCCCAGAGACTAGAGGGAAATAAAGTGAAAAGCTCTCAGAGTAGGCTGGAAGTGAGGGAGAGTAGTCTATTGTCAGGGTAGCATTTGAAGTGACAGACAGGACAAGATGGACCTCATCAGGGAGAGACGATGTCTGAGGACTGGCACCTGGAGGAAATGCTGAGATCTCTAGCAGGCCGTCTGGAAATCCTGCGTTGGGTCTCATGCTGGGTCTTCAGCCTCAGCCATCTTACCATGAACACCGTTTGGCCGGTTCCTCGCTGACCCCAAGTTTGTGTGGCATTCCAGGAATCAGTGACTTTCCAAGATGTCGCTGTGGACTTTACTGAGAAGGAGTGGCCCCTGCTGGATTCTTCTCAGAGAAAGCTGTACAAAGATGTAATGCTGGAGAACTACAGCAACCTCACTTCGCTAGGTAAGGCCGGTGTCATTCCTTCTCTTATTTATTCATGAATTAGATGTTTTTGTTTGAGTATGTCCTGTGATCCAGGAACTATGCAGGCGTTCAGAACACAGCTATGAACAAGCAGCCCTGGCATCCATGTTCATGGGGCCTCTCCTGGGTATTGAGGCCTGTCCATCACAAGGACCTTGAGGGTTCTCTGGTATGTGTCTGAGCTTGGGCATGGGCTTCTGAGATACAAAATCTCCATTCTTTTGGAGGGTCAGTATGTGGCTATTTGTGATCTTATTTCCTAGGTTGCTTTCTTTTATTTACTTCTGGTAATGAAGGGGTCTCACTATGTTGCCCAGATTGGTTTTGAACTCCTGGCCACAGGCACAAGCCACCGTGCCTGGCCTGTGGTTTTGTTTTCTATCAATCAAAAACTTTTACTGTGTTCCTTAGAAATGTTGGCATCATCATGTTGCTGCTCCTAAGTCAGACTTGTCCACCTTCAGAATGTTGAGCCCAGGCTAATGGAAGGGTCTTCTGCATGGCCCTCCCTCAACCTGTGTCTTTCCCATGAGTGTAGGGTATCAGGTCGGCAAACCCAGCCTCATCTCACACTTGGAGCAGGAGGAGGAGCCAAGGACAGAGGAGAGGGGCATACACCAGGGCGCTTGTGCAGGTGAGCAAGCCCCAGGTGAAGAGCAGTGCTGTGACTCCACCTCTATTCTGTGATTGGGGTAGAGGGAGGGTCGTTGGGGAATGTCACCCAGGGAAATCGAGAAATGCTCTTTCCCTCTTTTTGCCCACCCATTATCTGCCAAATCTTTTGGTCCACACACTCCTGACTTTCACATTCTCATTACTGAGCTCTTTGTCCCATTCTTTCATACTTGATACTTGATGTTCCTATCATCCTCTTTCTGTCGTTATCAACATCTATCTGAATTGACTTAAATTTCTTTTTTTTTTTTTTTTTTTTTTTTTTTGAGACAGAGTCTCGCTCCCGTCGCCCAGGCTAGAGTGCAGTGGTGTGATCTTGGCTCACTGAAACCTCTGTTTCCTGGGTTCAGCGATTCTTGTGCCTCAGCCTCCCAAGTAGCTGGAATTACAGGTGTGCGCCACACGTCCAACTGATTTTTGCATTATTAGCAGAGATGGCTTCATCATGTTGGCCAGGCTGGTCTTGAACTCCTGAGCTCAAGTGATCCACCCACCTCAAGCCTCCCAAAGTGCTGGGATTACAGGTGTGAGCCTACCACACCCAGCCTGAATTGACTTAAATTTCTACCTGGCATTGCCGTATATCTCACATGACCAGATTTTTTAACAATTGCTTTTGCAACCACTTTTCCTCACATACCCTTAGGGTCTGTCAAGAAATCTGCCTGTCATTATCACCATCATCCCACCAGTTTTCCTTTTCCAACAAATTAATACTTTCAAATTTGTTTTAGATTGGGAGACTCCATCTAAAACCAAGTGGTCACTTCTTATGGAAGATATTTTTGGGAAGGAAACGCCCAGTGGTGTGACAATGGTAAGATTTCCTTATGATGATTCTGGATCTTCCTACCACATCCAAGCAGACTGAGGCAGCCTAGCTGAGAAAAAGCAGTTCAAACACCAGGACAAGCAGCTTCCCTCAGAGGAAGCTTTGTTTCAGAGACACTGGATATTACCGAGCTGGAGGAAGCCTAACCCTAACCTCAGACTACTTCACCTAGAGTGCCTCTGAGTAAAGATTTTTATAGCTATGTCTCAGATATTGAGTGTTGGGGCTCTGTGCCGTTTTGTTTTATTTTATATTTATGTTTTACACTGACTTACCAATTCAGTTTTGGTGATATTTATTTATTTTTTGAGGGAGACAGTCTCGTTGCCCAGGCTGGAGTACAGTGGCACCATCTTGGCTCACGGCAACTTCTGCCCCCCAGGCTCAAGCCATCCTCCCACTTCAGCCTCCTGAGCAGCTGGTACTGTTGACATGTGCCACCACACTTGGCTAATTTTTCTATTTTTTGTAGAGATAGGATTTCACCATGTTGCCCAGGCTGGTCTCAAACTCCTGGGCTCAAGTGATCCACCCACCTTGGCCTCCCAAAGTGCTGTGATTACAGGCTTGATCCACCATGCCGAGCCTCAATGCAGTGTGTTTTTTTTTTTGAGATAGACTCTTGTTCTTGTCGCCCAGGCTGGCGTGCAATGGCACGATCTCAGCTCACTGCAGCCTCCATCTCCCAGGCTCAAGTGATTCTCCTGTCCCAGCCTCCCAAGTAGCTGGGATTACAGGCATGAACCACCACACCCAGCTAATTTTTAGTAGAGATGGGGTCTCACTATGTTAGCCAGGCTGGTCTTGAACTCCTAACCTCAGGTGATCCACCCACCATGGCCTCCCAAAGTGCTGAGATTACAGGCTTGAATTCAGTTTTAAACAGTGAAGAAATGCTGTATGCAAAAAGCTTTGAAAAAGTAACACAAGTGGAGACTTGTGGCCTGGCGTTCACCTGTTGTCTTTGATGGAGCTCAAACGGGGCAGGAACAGCACTTCCTCCCTGCAGATGATGACACCTCTAGTCATAATAATGTGCTTCTGTCTGTTCACAGCAGTGTATGTGGGGATGATGCTTAGGGTTGCAATGAATGGAAGAATTGCCTTAGTCAGCCTGCATGTCTTAACCAACAGGAAAGAGCCGGTCTTGGAGAGAAACCCACTGAATACGCTCACTTGTTCGAAGTCTTCGGCATGGGCACTCATCTTACGCAGCCAATGGGAAGGCACGCTGGCAAGAGGCCCTATCACCGCCGCGACTTCGGAGTAGCATTCAAGGGCAGGCCGCACCTCACTCAGCATGTGAGCATGTACGACGGGAGAAAAATGCACGAGTGTCATCAGTGCCAAAAAGCCTTCACCACGAGCGCGTCCCTCACACGGCACCGGAGAATCCACACCGGGGAGAAGCCCTACGAGTGCAGCGACTGCGGGAAAGCCTTCAACGACCCTTCCGCCCTCAGGAGCCATGCAAGGACTCACCTCAAAGAGAAGCCCTTTGACTGCAGCCAATGTGGAAACGCATTCCGGACCCTCTCGGCCCTGAAAATCCACATGAGGGTTCACACCGGTGAGAGGCCGTACAAGTGTGATCAGTGCGGGAAGGCGTATGGCAGGAGCTGCCACCTCATCGCGCACAAGAGAACACACACCGGAGAGAGGCCCTACGAGTGTCACGACTGTGGGAAAGCCTTCCAGCACCCCTCCCACCTCAAAGAGCACGTGAGGAACCACACCGGGGAGAAACCCTATGAGTGCACGCAGTGCGGCAAAGCCTTCCGCTGGAAGTCGAACTTTAATTTGCACAAGAAGAACCACATGGTGGAGAAGACCTACGAATGTAAAGAATGTGGGAAGTCCTTTGGCGATCTTGTGTCCCGGAGGAAACACATGAGAATTCACATCGTCAAGAAACCCGTGGAATGCCGGCAGTGTGGGAAAACTTTCCGAAACCAGTCCATCCTTAAGACTCACATGAACTCTCACACCGGAGAGAAACCCTATGGGTGTGACCTCTGTGGGAAAGCCTTCAGCGCCAGCTCAAACCTCACAGCACACCGGAAGATACACACACAGGAGAGGCGCTACGAGTGTGCCGCCTGCGGAAAAGTCTTCGGCGATTATTTATCTCGGCGGAGGCACATGAGCATCCACCTTGTAAAAAAGCGCGTTGAGTGCAGGCAGTGTGGCAAAGCCTTCCGGAACCAGTCTACACTGAAGACACACATGCGAAGCCACACGGGGGAGAAGCCGTACGAGTGTGATCACTGTGGGAAAGCCTTCAGCATCGGCTCCAACCTCAACGTGCACAGGAGGATCCACACCGGGGAGAAGCCCTACGAATGCCTCGTCTGCGGGAAAGCCTTCAGCGACCACTCATCCCTCAGGAGCCATGTGAAAACCCACCGGGGAGAGAAGCTCTTTGTATCATCCGTGTGGAAAAGGCTCCAGTGAGCGCAGCTGCTTTAAAGACATGGGATTACTCAGACGGGAAGCAGACCTCATGGGTGTAAGAGGAAGCCTCTGTGAGCTGGCGTCTTACTGAATGCAAAAGAATCCACATAATTTGGGAGGAATCCAATTCCTGTAAAAACCGGGAAGATGAGGTGTCCTCATCCCATGGGAGATTTGTGAGAACTCACGCTGGGGGTGAAAATGTACATCTGTAGCGTGGAGGAGCCTTCGGGGTACATTCGGCTCTTAACAAACACTAAGGTGAGAAACCCCAGCTTGGCATTTAATGCCAAAATGGCTTCAGCATCATTTGTAGCCTTCTGGGCCCATGAGTAATAATAAGCACACTAGGGAGAATCTCTATATACAGTGGGTGGGGAAACTCGACTCCTCATGACAGAAATCATACTGAAGAGAGAAATGAGTGAAGTAAGGAATGTGGGAAGGTCATGAATGGGTCCGCACACCATGGCCAGCTGTCTTCGTGTGGCTTGCAAGCTGACAACAGCTGCTCCATCTTTAAAGAGGAAGAATGTGTGCAATAGAGAACATTTGTGGCCAGAGAAGTCTGAAATACTTCCAGTCATCTGTCCCTTTCCAGACAGTGTTGGTGGTTAGAACTGGGGAAAGGTACTCCTGACTTGTAGTAAGAAGGCATCAGGGATGCTGCTATGTCCCCTCCAGCACATAGGAGCCCCCCACAACAAAGAGTCAGTACCCTCAAACATCACTGTTGCTGAGGTTGAAAACCTCAATTACTGCCTGCAGCAACCCCTAAGTTTTTATGAATCTTGTGAGCACTTATGCCAGGAGAAATTTCTTCTACAAAACTTTTAAAATACAATCAGTGCTGATAATTCCTATGTGGAAATGATTCTAGCCATGGTCCCTCATTTGTGCATGTGAATATTCTCACTGGGAGAGATAAATCTCCCAGTGAGATTTTCCAGTGAATACAGGATTGCTCTTACTCTCTAATCATGAAAACAGACCCCCCCCCCCAACCCCACTCATAAATTTTTTATCTTTATTTTTAAGGATGCACTCTTCTAAATAAACTCTTAAGCCTCATCAAGAAAGGTTTGTATATAGTATTTTTACTATAGCTTCATCCTTGATAACATCCTAATTTCCTTTTGGACAACCTCCTTGACCTCTGTGTGACATGAGAGTGTTTCTCAGTATCGGTTTGTTCCTGGTACCTGATTGACAAGCATTGTGACCAGAGCATGATGTCTCCATCAAGTGGTGATATTTTTGCAGCTTGCTATCTAGCCAAGAGTGACAGATACTTTTTTTTGAGACTGAGTTTTGCTCTTCTTTCCCAGGCTGGAGTACAATTACACGATCTTGGCTCACTGCAACCTCCACCTCCTGGGTTCGAGCAATTCTTCTGCCTTAGCCTCCTGAGTAGCTTGGATTACACATGCCTGTCACCATGCCCAGCTCATTTTTTGCATTTTTAGTAGAGATGGGGTTTCATCATGTTGGCCAGGCTGGTCTCAAAACTCCTGACTTTAGGTGATCCACCTGCCTCAACCTCCCAAAGTGCTAGGATTACAGGCAAGAGTGACAGATACTTCTAGTGGCTTCCCCAGTATCCACTGTCATCTTCCAATACCAAGAGAATCCAGGTTCTTTCAGATTAGTAAGGTGTGCTATTTTTAAAAATCTCTTACAGGTTTTCTTGCAACTAGTACCATCCATGGCCCACAGCCCTGACCATTGACAAATCAGCAGATGTCACCATGTGGGCTTCTGAGAAAGCTCTTGAACAGGGGTCGTTCCTAAACCTGAATTCTTCCCTATTTGTTTTGTTCTTTGCTTTACCCCCTACTTTTCACCTTGCAAGGAGATCCAGTACGTAGTATTGGAAGATCCACCTTATGACCCTGCGGATGAAAGTCAGGGTCTAAAGAAGTGGCTACAGAAAGCCCACAGTGACCCTGGCCTCCCCTCGGTCCTGTGGGTGTCTACACCAGCCCTGGACTTGTTACTTCCAGACTTCTATCACATGAGAAAAAATAAAACTGATTACTGGTTTAAGCTGCTATGGATATTTCATTGTTTTTCTTTTAAATTTATTTATTTCAAGATAGGGGTCTCCTTGTGTTGGCTACATTCAAACTCCTGGGCTCAAATGATCTTCCTGCCTCAGTCTCCCAAGTAGCCGAGAATACAGGCATGAGCCACCACACCCGACTGGTTTTTCTATTTATTTATTGGTGGGAGGGATTTCTACACCCAGCTAGATGCTGCCTGAAGCCCATGCACCTGGTCATTGGTGAGTTTTATAAGTAGTACCTAAACGTATGGGTATAACATGTCTACTTTTAATTGTGGGATACGGGTTTTTTCATTTGGTTAAACCAACCTTTTACATTGTATTTCAACTTTTTGTTATATCTTGATATTTTCTTGATTTACTGATACCTAAGCGTGTGGGTATAACATGTCTACTTTTAATTGTGGGATACAGGTTTTTTCATTTGGTTAAACCAAACTTTTACATTGTATTTCAACTTTTTGTTATATCTTGATATTTTCTTGATTTACTGACAGAGATGTATTAGTTTTCACAAAAGCTCAAGGACAGATTGCGTCAGCATCTCTGTTTTGCATATGGGGAATCAGGCAAGAAAGTTGAGGTTTACTTATCTGTGGTCAGCCTGTTAGCTGGTAGCAGTGTTTGCCTTTGAACCCTGTTGTCTGGCTCTGGAGCTTATGCCTCCTTGATGCCAGGCACAGGCACTGTTTTGTGGTCTTCAGGGTCTACAGCAGTGATTCTAGATTTTTGCCCTGGTGGTGCTTACACTGTGTTTGGGGTGGGGCACCTGATAAACTTGTAAATATACTGTGTATCAGATGGTGGTAAATGCAATGGAAACAACCATGGTGATGACAGGGAGCATGTGGGTTGAAGGAATATAAGGTGGGTAGGGAAAGCCTTCCATTTAAGCAGAGGTGTCAGGGAACTGCATGCATGTGCCCTTAATCTGGGGGAAAGCACCCTTGGCAGCTCAAAGGCCACGAAGGAGAACTGTGCTTGGGGCAGCCATGCAGCAGCAGACGGGCTGGGGTGGTGGGGTGAGGCAAGCTTGGGCATTGTAGAAGATGATGAGGTCAGAGCTGTATCAGAGGCTGTTCACAAGGGCACCTGGCTGTTTAACTAGATCTTGAACAGAAGAGTGGCAGCTATCCAATTTCAGTTTTCAAAAGGATCACAGTGGCTTCTGGGTTGATAGGCTAAAGAGGGAGGAGATACGAACAGAAACCAAGTAGAAGGCCATTGCAGAATTCAAGTGAAATGTAATGGCAGCCAGATTAACTAGGAGGAGGAGTGGTGTGAGAGAGTCATGGTGATGAATATAATCATAGTCTCATTTTCATGTCCGGGCTCTGATCCTTTTATTGTTATCCACTATTATGCTGTGAACTGCTAATGAATAGTTGGATTTTCTCATTTTTCCCAGTTATGAACAGTGCTGCTGTAAGGTGTACATGCCCTCTGGAGCATTGGTAAGTTTTTCCAGGAGCGTGAGGTTGCTGGGTTTTAAGTTCTCTGCATGTTCATCCTATCAGTGTAATGCCAAAGTCATTTCTACTGTGGTATCATAGAATACAGTATAATAATACCTTGTGTGTATGTGTTTTAAAACATTTTTATTGAAATGTAACATACATGTAGAAATACGCTTAATTCATAAGTATACAAACCATTTATCGCATGAGCACTTCCACATAACCACTAAGTCAAGAACAAATATTACCAGTATTCGAGATACCTCCTCGTTTTTCCCTCCAAATTATGCACTCTACTGTGTAGGTAACTAGTATTCCAACTCTAACAGTGTGGTTTGGATTTTTTTTTTTTTTTTTTTTTTTTGACATGGAGTCTCGTTCTGTCACCCAGGCTGGAGTACAGCAGCACAATCTCAGTTCACTGCAACTTTTGCCTCCTGGGTTCAAGTGATTGTCCTGCCTCAGCCTGCCGAGTAGCTGGGATTACAGGTGCATACCACCACACCTAGCTAATTTTTTGTATTTTTGGTAGAGATGGGGTTTCACCATGTTGGCCAGGCTGGTCTTGAACTCCTGACCTCAAGTGATCCGTACGCCACAGCCTCCTAAAGTGCTAGGATTACAGGCATGAGCCATTGCACCTGGCCTGGATTTTTGTTTTTGAGGCCCTGTGCAAATCCTGCCATCCAGTATGCATTCTTTCTTTTTTCCTTTGGCCTGTCTTAATTTGCCCAATATTTTTTGTGAAATGACACGTACTGTTTCCAATATTAAGTAGTACATTTTATTCTGTTTCTTTGTTTGAATATTCCATAATTCATCTAAGCATCTTATATTGATGACCATTGGACTTTACAGTGCAGGGTTATTGTGATGAATACTACTATGAGTACATTTCACTATTTCTGGTTGTGCACAGTGCCTGTATTTCTTTGGAGTACATACCCTGGATAGAAATTGCTGGGTTCCTGACAGAAAATTTATATGAGATGCATTTGTTCATTTTCATTGGACACTGCCAGTTTTCGACAGTTTATATTCCAACAAACTTGTGTGGCATTAGGCAAGACGATACTCACATTGCCCTCCTTGTCTTACTGATTGTGTACTCTGCATGTGAACCCTTTGGGTGGATATATGTTTTGTCGATATTTTCTCCCACTCTGTGGCATGCCTCTTCATGTTCACTGATTCTTAGGCCATGTTCAGATGACTGATTAGCTTATCAAAGGCATTCTTCCATCTCTTTATGGTGGCTTTGATTTCTAATATTTCCCTCTGATTCTTTGAGTTTCCATTTTTCTGCTGATAACACAGGGCAGATGAGCCCTCAGATTGGGGTTTAGCCCAGGAGGGTTCTTGACTTTGCTCAGGAAAGAATTCGAGAGCCAGCCGGCAGTAAAAGAAATTGGCTTTATTGAAGCAGCAGGCCACAGCAGAGTAGCTGCCCCTTACGGAGCAGGGCTGACTCAGGTTATATGCCCAGAGCAGCATCATATGGGCAGTTGGCTAGCAGTATTTATACCCACTTTTAATTACATGCAAATTAAGGGATGGGTTATTCAGATAGCTCTAGAAAAGGAGTGGTAACTTCCGGACAACTGACAAGTGCACTGACAATATTGGCTACCACTGTCCATTTTCAACTCGTGCTTTTAATTCCAGACAAACTGTGTACCCATTAAGCAATCACTCCTCAACACTTCTGCCTTCAACTCCTGCTAACTTGTACATAGTGTCCATGAATTTTGTTATAAGTAGGATCATAAAATATGTATTTTTGTGTGTGTCTGCCTTATTTCATAAAGTAATGTTTTCAAGGTTTATCTATGTTGTAGCATATATCAGAATTTCATTCCCTTTTATGGTTTAATAATACTCTGTTGCATATATGTGTCACTTTTTTTTATGTCAAAGTAGATTTTTATTACAGAATAATTTTTTCTATTAATTCAATGCTTTATATAAAACAACGTAATACCGTAAACTAACAATTACCTGGTAGCATGTAAATACTTAAGGCTGGAGAGGCATGCTTATTCTTGATAAATATAATAAAGGGGAATTTAAACTTTGGCATTAGTTTACATGAGTCAATTCAAGGTCAGTGACTGGGGAATTGTATTAAGAGAAACCAGAGGTCAAAAAACTCTTCAGGAAGGAGCCCTCTAACAATGTACATTTGAAGATTAGGGAGCTAAAGATCCACTCTGAATGAACACCATTAAGCCAAGGATGTACAACATCCATCAACATCTGTTTCAAAAACAGCATGTTTCTAAAATGATACATCTCTTTACAAAGTAAACATTACAGTATGAATAACTACAGAGACACCATTGGGATGAGCTCCAGATCTGCCGCTGACTTCCGTGAAGCACCCGTGGGTCATGGCTTAAGGCATCCATCTTAATCATGGGGCTTTAAGAACATCTTCTTTGCTTTAATCGGTTGTATGTCTCCATTTTCATCTTCTTCATAACTGGCATGGTCTCTCTTTCTGGCAAACTTTTTCCCAATTGTCCCCACCAAGGTCTCATATCTTCTAGCCATCTCTTCATCTGACACATCGAGCTCCACTGTTTCATCTTCAACTTCTTCTGCTTTGTGCTTAGCATTCATATGAAGCATCAATTTCTCAACCTCAGGATTAAATCCTCTGAATGACATTCTTCCATAGAGAAGATCTTCACATAATAAGAAACTCTGCTCTTCTATTATGAAACTCTCTTTCCCTTTAAACTCTGGCAAATCCAAGTACCAGTGCTCTTCACTAATGATTTTCTTTTCTTCCTCTTCCAGTTGTT